TTGTTTTACTAGGAAAAAATTTAACTTTTACTTTTCCCTCTTGTACAGCCAGCCTCACATCATAGTACTTTATACATATGTTTGCTTCTGCCTTTTACACTTGTATTCTCAGATAAACTGATATTATTATCTATAAAAATAGGCATAGGCTAAGTTACATTAACATTCAAATCTTTAAGTAACTGTTTGATCCACACTAGTTCTTTAGTTAACTCATGTAAAGAGCACATTTCTGCCTCTGTGGAACTGGTGGAAATGCCTGTTTGTTTCCTGGACTTCCACATCACACAAGCATCCCCCAGATAGGATCAGTTGCCCAATCAGAATTTGCATATGCTTTTAATTCAAGACTGCTTGCAACATTTTGTTTTAGCTTGTGATCCCCAGTGCCCTTTAAATATCTTAATAACCTTTTTACTCCATTCCAATGGTTAACTTGTGGTTTCACACACTTCTTACTTAAGATGTTAACACTAGCAGCAATATCAGGTCTTGTCCACACTGATAAATACAGCAAATACAAGGTATTCAAAATCTCCTGTATCACTATATAGAAGTTGGTCACCATAGGAGTAGAAACTTTATTTGCTCCAGACATGTTACATTGCTTAAGCAAACTTTGTTTTATCTTTTTGATTTAGGACAAAATGCTCTTGTTCGTCCTTGCTTACTAGGTAATTTTGAATTTCACCTAGATACTTCATTTTAAAGTGTTCATGTTTTCTTGCAACCACTCTACTTGGCTTTTGTTCTGCACAATTAAACACAAATCGTCTAGCAAAAGCTAGTAGATACATTACTTGGTTTCCTTTTCAGTAGACACAAGGATCAGCAATGCTGTTAACAAAACCTAGCTGTTTTAGCCTTTTGTCTGGTAACATATTCCAATTTTGTGCGCTTTGTCTCAATCAGTATAAGGCTTTGTGCAATTTTAGTACAGTGGTGCCTCGCTTAATGAGTGCACCGTACAACGACGAAATCACATAGCGATCCCTTTTTTGGGATCGCTAATGCAATCGCTCAACGAGCTTTAGATAGGGAGAAATTCGCTTTGCGAAGATCGGTAAGCATTTCGCTTACCGATCTTCGCAAAATGAAGCTCCGACGATCAGCTGTTTGGCGGACAAAATGGCCACCGGAAGCCCCAAAATGGCCACGCGCAGCGTTTTCGCGCCCTCCCCTCGCTTAACAAGGGCGCGAAAATGGCTGCCGGCCATAGGAAACTTCGCTGAACGGGGAGTAAAGGAGCCTTTTGGAACGCATTAAACGATGTTTAACGCGTTCCAATGGCTTTCCCTGTCCCGTTCAGCGATGTTTGCTATGCGAGGCACCACTGTACTAGCTTTGAATTTTCATCTTCAAAGTCTGGAATTTGCTTCATATATATGTTCCCAGCTGCAAGAGTTCTTGCTGTATACTTACCACTGGAAAAGTTTATCTGGTAATCTGCTTTATCCAATCTTGCAGCACCCAACAAATTGTGATGTAATGCAGGTACACACAACACATTATCAAGAGCTATGCCAAGTCTTTTCACAAAAACCTTCCCTTGACTTGTAACATTGGTTATATGTCCATCTGCCAAACTTACATTTCATCTGTCACACTTCTCAAATGTTTGGAACATTTGTCTGTTTGCACAAAAATGGTGAGAGGCTCCACTGTCTAAGACCCAGACATCCAGAGTCTGATTCTCAGCTTGTACAACAAGACACTTTTGAACTCAGTCCTGCTTTCTTCTTCTTAGGCTTAGAAGGAATGGTGCAGTTCCCCTTTAAATGTCCTGGCTTTCCACAACGGAAACAGTTTCTTACAGCTAGCATACTGTCCTGGATCTCTTTTCTCGTGTCAGCCACACCCCTCCTGGAACCACAATCCAGTCGGCATCCTGGAACTTGCTGCTCCTTTGCTGTGTGCTTCCGTTCCTCTCGTCTGTCTACCTCATCTAGCAAAACTGCTGACAGGAAATATGTCAAACTTACAGGGTCCACAGCCTTCATAAATGACACAAAGACATCCCAGGAAGGATTGAGACTTGATAGTACTGTATAATGTAACACTGTCTCTCCTGTGAATATACCTCATCGGTTAACAGGAGCTGAAAAAATAAATCTATTAGCATGTTCACATGACTTGCAACAGGCTGGCCAGGCTCCAACTTGGTTCTAAATAACCACCTCATTAGCACCATCCTTGTTGCAGCTGAAGCTGAAACACTGTTTTGACCACCTCCTAACACTTGTGGCTTGACTCAGCACTTCTCACACGCACCAGTAGAGAGTCCTCCATTGAGAGAACGATGGTAGCCATTGCTCTCTGGTCTCTGCTTATGTCTTCTGCTGAGAAAACACCTGGTGGTGGCGCATATACAATCTGCCCCAGCCCTTGGCTCTTTAGCAGCATCTCCATCTTGATGGACCAAGACAAATAGTTATTACTCGTTAACGTGATAAATGGAGTAGCTGGAATACTGGCCTGAAACACAAGAGCCTCCAAAATATTTCCCTCTGGCATGGCAGCACCTCCAGCAGCTCCACCAGCTGCTGTTCTCTGGTCCTTAGGCTTCACCACAGCTTCTTTTTTGCTCCATTATGCCTATCCAAAACTGCTTTAATGATTCCCCCACTTTGGTTATAAAGCACATGTCAATGCAGTCCAGAAAACACTTAGCACTCTACAAATGAACCTGCTGTCTTCCAGTCTCACACAGCAGACCTCCAGGCGAAACCCATCTTCTTTAAATGCTTAGTGTTTGGGCCCATAACCCTGTCAAGAGTATATCTGCTGTACTTTGGATAAACATATACTAGCAGAAACATTTTAAGCTGATTCAAGAAAGAATGTGGCTCCCTGGAGAGAACTGGTGGAAACCTAAGAGAATCCAGTGCTCTTCCTTTAACTCTGGATGCAAAACCTAAGACAGGTCAAACTTAGTCTAGAAAAATACATATGTAACTTAAATAGCTTATCAGCATAACAGCTAACATAACAGCATACAGTAACTGGTTACTCACAACCCGGTATAACACAACAGCATGACTGCTCCTGAATCAGAGCAGTAAAGTAATGCTGTCACAGAGCTACTTTTATACAGAGAAAAAGCCTCTGTAATCAGCAACACCTGCCCGAGGCAACTCAAACTCTGCCTGTTAACCAGCAACCCCTGTATGCTTGTACTTTATATACAGTTGTTCGTACATATTTTACCTACGTGAATACATTTATATGTTAAAGACTTTAATTTACAATATAGTTACCTGATCCATTACAAATATATTGACATTATGCACCATTTTTGACACACCCATTTTTTTCTACAGCAGTCCACAGCTTTTCATGATGAGCACTGTCAAAAGCTTTATTTTAATCTGCAAAGAGCAAACTGATCTTCTGAAATTTCCTGGTACACCCCAGTAGCCAACAGATAGTTGTGATACAACCTTTAGCAATTCTTCCTTTTCTGAATTCAGCTTGAGCATCTGGTATTTCTCATTTTGTTTGTGATAAAAAATGTAAAATCTTGAGAATGACTTTGTTTGCGATAGAATATTAGCGTGATGATCCCATAGTTAACAGGCTTTTGTGTCTCTTTTATGGAAGTGGAATGAATATTGAAGAGTTCATCTCGTCTCTGTGAATCAAACATGTGGGTTGTTTTACATTTCTTTATTTATTTTATTTATTCAATTTATACCCTGCCTATCTGGTCAATTATGACCACTCTAGGCAGCTAGAGTGTAGACAGCTGTGTGGAACTTGTCAGAACATTTTAGAGCTCAAAATAAAAAGATGGTAATGCTCGCCCACCCCCCGGTGCATGTTTATTTATATTTTTGGATATATATGTTTCCAGATAAATGTCTTGAGATAATAATCTGATCCTCAAAAGCTTTCTTTGTGTTCTGATTTGAGAGAGGTTCTTAAGGGCAGGTTCTTAACTCCTTGCAATAAAAAAGGCGGAGAGAACTTGAAAAGTCAACACTTCCAAATTCACACTGCAGATAGAATGGATTATTCAAATTCTTAGATGGTTGCAATTAATTGATATATCAGAATTTCATCCAGAAGCTCCAGAATTTATGGAAGATGTTTTAGGTGGTATATGGCTGTGGTGTCCACCCAGGTCATGACTATTAATGGGCTGTCTGTATGTACCAATGAGAGCACTGGAGAGGCAGAGTCGCCAGATATAAGAGTCTTTGCAGGAGAGGGAGAAGTGGAGGATTTGTGAATTTGGAGTTTGGGAGAGGGTTGGCGGTTGAGGGTGGATGAAGTAGGATGTTTTGTTTGGTGAAACAACCATGGGACAGGCGGTAACGTGACAATGCCTTAAATTATTTTTGTGAACTGTTAGGCTTGTGATGGTAGCAGCATGCAAATTTCTCTTAGCTGCTTGGAGGCCCTCTTTAGAACTCCTTTTGGCTTTAAAATAACAGAGTAAGTTAGACTGCAGCGCTAGGAAATAGTAAACACAATACGAAAACTCCACAGGTGAAAAAAGTAGTGCTTTTTCATTTCAGTTCTTCTGTGGATGTAGTAAAAGGATGCAGAAAAATGGTGTGCCATTTTCTTCCTTCAAAGAAAAGTTTTTGGATTGTTTTTCTTTAAACAGTTACCGGATACCCCAAACCTGCAGTTTGCATATTGTATTTGGTGCAGTAAAATAATTATTCTGAACCCACCAATCTACAGGTTTCCTAAATTTACATTAGTAAGGGGATACATGAAGATTAGTTGTCGAAATACTTGGAAGACATTGGATCCTTCCAAGATCAATAAAATGAATACCCAGCTTGCTTGGGTGGGGATAATATGTAGCTTGTATAATTAAAAAATTGTAAACTGCCCAGAGAGTACTTTAAGCACTATGGGGCAGTATATAAGCAGCACATTTTGTTTTGCTTTACTCTGTTAAATGCATTCTTTTTCATTAATTTTAAAGAACACCTAAAGTTGTAATTACTAACAGTTCACTTTTATCTTTCTGTTTAATCTTGCAGGTTATATTTCTCACTATGTGCTGACTGTCTGTACTTACAGAAGATATTTAAAAACACTTTTTTTCCAAAAAAGAATTGATTCCAGTGGAATCTGCTTTAGATTTTGTCTTGTGAAGTAACACCTGAAGCAATGCCTGTACAAGCTCCACAATGGACGGATTTCCTTTCCTGCCCTATTTGCACACAAACCTTTGACGAAACGATCCGGAAGCCCATCAGCCTGGGTTGTGGCCACACAGTCTGCAAGATGTGTCTGAACAAGCTCCACCGAAAGGCATGCCCCTTTGACCAGACCACTATTAATACAGATATTGAGCACCTTCCTGTGAACTCAGCATTGTTGCAACTTGTGGGTGCCCAGGTAAGGCTGTCATATCCTAGATCTTTTTTAAGTCCTTCAGCTGTGTAGAGGAGGGTTATACTGTAATCCAGGTGGAATGTGCATGTGTGTGTCTAAATGCATGTTCACAATAGACACAAATAGACACTCACACCCTTTTTTGGACAGTATTAATTTGCAGTTGAATGCAAACATTCCAAGCTTGAAGTAGGAATGGATTTCAGCATGCCTACAGTTTAGCATGAAAGATAGATTTGATTAAGACTCTCCATTATAAGATAAAAGATTTAAAAGTAATACTATTTCTAGCAGTTACATTGTATTGCAGAACTCTTGAAAATGAGGGATTTTACAAGCATTTTACTGATGAGTGGTTAATTGGATGCTTAAAATGGACAGTCCTTTTGTTGTTGTTTTTGTTTTGTATTTTGATTATAATGTTTCCACAGGTGCCAGAGCAGCAACCAGTAACTTTACGTAGTGGTGCTGAAGATACCAAGCATTATGAGGAAGCCAAGAAATGTGTGGAAGAACTAGCTTTGTACCTTAAACCACTTAGCAGTGCAAGAGGTAAATAATGCTGAGTTATGCATCCTTAGAAAGCAAAACCTTAAAGCAATGCCTATTGACATAAAAATGCTCCAAACCCCTAATACTTTTAATAACTACACTTTTTGAGAGTCTCCAAAAGAGAAAAGAGCTATGTTTAAGTGTTGAAGGAAGTAGTGGTAGTGGACCAAAACTGTCAAATAAAACGTTATTCCATAGAATATTGTATTTCATAACACACCTACTAATGGTTGGTATTTTTGTACTTCATTGCCTGAATGGAATTAAAAAGGAATCAGATGGCTTCATAGAATAATGAAACTGAAAGGGGCTTATAAGGCAGTACAACCCCTTGCTCAGTGCAGGAATACAGATTAAAGGATATCTGCCAGGTGGCTGTCTACATTTCTCTTGAATACCTCCAGTGTTGGAGCACTCATCATCTCTCAAAGTAATTGGTTCCATTGCCAATTTAGGGAAGTAGTTCTAGTTTTCTGAACACAACCCCTTGCTCAATGCAGGAATACAGATTAAAAGGATATCTGCCAGGTGGCTGTCTACATTTCTCTTGAATACCTCCAGTGTTGGAGCACTCATCTCTCTCAAAGTAATTGGTTCCATTGCCAATTTAGGGAAGTAGTTCTAGTTTTCTGAACATGAATCCTACAGGTGGAGCAAAATTGTGAATATTTATTCATTATTAACAGAAAATAAATAGAAATATCACCAGTTGTTACTTTGTGCTAGCTATTCTTAGCTGACCAATAAAATAGCCAAAATCATCTTGCATAGTTACACAGATGGTGTTATGTTTTTACTTTAGGTTAAAAAGATCACTGTAAGCATTATCAGTTACATTCTGAGTCATACAGCTCACTATGCAACAGATAATGCCCATTGTTTAATTCTGAATTATTTTTAATTCTGTTTTTTTAGTTTAACAAGAACTAGTTAATTAAAGGGAAGATTTTGACAGTAATGTGAAGTAATAGGTATTCTGCAGAAGACAGCATTCTGAATATCATGAAGACTCTAGTACCTTTTGACTAACCAGCTAGAAATAGACTGTATGTAAGTCCTATATTGCTCATAAGAAACTGAGAAATAACTCCTACTTTTTTTCTTTTTGTAAAGGTGTGGGACTTAACAGCACCACTCAGAGTGTACTCAGTCGCCCTATGCAACGGAAACTTGTAACATTAGTCCATTGCCAACTAGTGGAGGAAGAAGGGCGGATCAGAGCTATGCGTGCAGCACGATCCCTTGGTGAAAGAACTGTCACAGAACTTATTCTTCAACACCAGAACCCCCAGCAGCTCTCTTCCAACCTTTGGGCTGCAGTAAGGGCCAGGGGCTGCCAGTTCCTTGGACCAGGTATATACCAGTCAGGTCACATGTTTTGTTATGGTAACAAATAAAATAACAGATGGAATGTGTTAATCATTTCGATTTAAAGGTCTAAAATACTTTGCAGGGAAGCTAAATAAAAAATTATGTTGTTTGTGAGATTTTTTTTAATTTTAAGGTTCATTCGTATATTCAAGAAAACAGTGCATTTTTAAACATAAGACATGAAACAGACCTTTACAAATTCTGTGCCTTAATTAATAAACCAAATGTATATGAGATGTTTATGTCCTGCCTTTGCAAAGTTTAAGCTGTTTTACAGTCCACACTGGAACAATTGTAAATGGCATATCACAACCTTTAATTTCCAGGCTACCTCTTAATTTGCCTTCTAGAGCAGATTTTCAAAAATCTTTAAAGCTTAGAGATTTGCGAAGTAAATGTATGATACTATGAAGGTCAGGCGCAACATTGCAGCTTTCAGTGGTGGCTAGCACTAGGAATCCTGCTTGACTTCTCCGCGGCTTAAGGAACACGGAGGAGGACCTTCAGAGGTTTCAGCAGATTAGCAACTGTATTGCATGGTTATTTTCTTCTTTGTTGTGTTTTTACCCCACTTTTATTCATTGGACCCAAGTGGTCTCCAGTTTGGACATTGACCAGCCCTGACTTGCTTAGCTTCAGCAAGGTAGCTTCATCATGATAATTGGGGTACACAAAAGTTGTTCTGTTCCTCAGTTTTTCCTTAGAGACTTAAAGATATTTTATTGAAAACTGCCAACATGTTAGAAATTTGTCTACAGTGGTGCCTCGCTAGACGATTACCTCGCAAAATGGTTTATTCGCAAGACGAAGAGTTTTTGGAATCGCTATAGTGCTTCGCAAAACGGTTTTTCCTATGGGCGATTTTCGCTGGATGATGTTTCGGTATGTGCTTCGCAAGACAGTGGTTTTTTTTTTGCGGGAGCACCGTTTTTCGCAAGACGACGATTTTGACAGCTAGGTCCGCGACTCGCAAAATGAGTGTTTTTGGGACTGTTTTTCGCAAGACAATGATTTTGACAGCTGATCCACGCTTCACAAAATGGTTTCTCTATGGGCGATTTTCGTGGAACGAATTAACATTGTCTTGTGAGGCACCACTGTATAACTGTATTATCCAGCAGTGGTATCATGTGCAGTTCACAAGTGACAACTAAGTACAGAATAGCTTTATTGTTAAAAATAACATTAGACATAATTAATTTTGAACTTTAAGATTACATATGCAAGCAGACGGTCCGTTTTTCAGTATTATTTTCCAGGCAGTCTTCATGGAACACTTTCCAAACTTCATGTGACAGGTTTAATTTTACAGTAATGTATTTTATCTGTAGAAGTGTAGAACTGGAGGGTTAATTGAGTCTGATCCACCAGGAAGTCCACAGTGAAAACATCTCTGACACATAGCCATCCAATGTCTGTTTTAAAAACTCCCGTGAAGGGGAATCCACCAACAAACGAGACTCCTTAAGACAAACAACTGTGTGCAGCAAAGGTCTTCTAGATGTAATCACAGGAGAATGAGCTGCATACAATGGATATAACCCCTAACAATTGTTTTGTGCTGCCTCCAATTTTCAAGCAATGCAGGAGGAAGCCCTCAAGTTAGTTCTTTTGGCTTTGGAAGATGGATCTGCTTTGTCTCGGAAGGTGTTGGTTCTCTTTGTGGTACAGAGGTTGGAGCCACGATTTCCTCAGGCTTCTAAAACCAGCATTGGGCATGTTGTCCAGCTTCTTTACAGAGCCTCCTGTTTCAAGGTATGAATTTGGTTGTTCCTTTTGGAGTAATAGGCTGAAATCCTGTTGTTTAGCATACTTAGTCACAACTATAGTAGGCCTATTGAATGAGTGGGGATTTTGTGAATTAAATCCTATAAGTTGTAGTGCTTACTTCTATACTGAGTAACAGGATTTCAGCCATCCTGAGCGTAAGCTAAATATTGAACTGTGTCGAAATAACAACAGACTTTCTCCCATTTTCTGTTATATGTTACATATGTGTGTTATATAGAGATGTGTTATATTTTGTTATACAGTGTATTGTATTCTGTTTCCCAGTTGGGTCCATTTTAAAGTCACATGTTTTGAAAAAAATATTGTTTGGAATTTCTGTTGTACAAATACTAATGTGGCCTCTTCACACAGTGTTAATGCAGTGTGACTGCGCTGTCAGTTGACTATCACTTATTGCTCGTATTGTGCAAATCTAAACCCAAATCTAAAATTTACTAGTTCTTGCTTTGTCATCTTTGTGGCTCATGCATATGGGTAATATCTGTGTGGGAGCAGGCTAGTCTAGAAGCTTCTGGAACTGTGTTAGGCATTTTGGCAGATATCCTACCCCACTAGGACTGTGCATGAGCACGCGGAGTTGCTGCCTTCCCCTCACTTCCTTTCATTAGCTGCACTGTTTGCACCAGGTAGGAGCTTCTCTTGAGTTTCTCTTAATTTTTTTTTGGGGGGGGGTGGCTCTCAGTTTCATCCCATGGCTTCCTCACACTCTCTTCAAACTAATTTTGGCACATTTCTCAGTTGATATTTAGCTGACCTCATTCTTCCATGGCTTCCTCAATCTCTCTTTGAACAAACGGGTGTTTTTCTCTAGGATTCATACCTAGCAGGCCTCCTTGTTGATTTCGGCCGCAAGTTACCATGGCTTCAAAAGTTATCTTTGAGAAAAATATGCATTGCAAGGCTGAGATTTCTTACATGGGTATCCATTTTGTGTGTCTGTTCTGTCACAGAGAGGGACACGATGTGGAAAAATGCCACCACTCTGCAAACCTGTCCAAACTGGCTGTCCACAAGAGGCAACGTCAACTATGGGCTTCATCGGAGGGGGAGGGGGAGGCTTCCAAACAGCAGCACAAGTATTTGCTCTAAGCTTCCACCAACTAAGCTTCACTCATCAGAATGGAAAGCTGTGGCTTTGTGTAGAATGTATTTTTCACATTGAGGAACAACATTTGAATGCTCAGGAAATCAACACCCTGCCCATCACCTAGTGGACCATGGAGTGATAGCTCATACATGGCGTGGACATCCGGGAGATTTGCAAGGCTGCTACGTGGTCCAGGCCATTGACATTTGTCACACTATAGGATAAATTCGAGAGCTCAGAAAGATGCTGCTTTTGGAAAGGTTGTTTTGTTGTCTCTTCTGGTGTAATTCCCACTTCCACTCACCCCTTTTTATGTTCATGTATGGACACCGTGAAGAAGAATCATAGTTACAGTAAATAAGTTTTTCTCATTCCTCTTTCCAAAAATGCACTTTATACTATCATTATGAAGACTTTCCCTACTCCAAGCAGTACATACTGTACACATTGTAGGTGCTGTCACTGACTCCTAGTAAACAGGAGCCTTTGTCCCATCAAATAGTTGCAATTATTTTCAGTCAGCAGCACGAACACTCCTAGCCAGGCCTACCACTGCGGCCTGTTGCACCTAGAACCATTTTGTATGATCCTGTTGAAGTCCTGGTTGACCTTTGGGATGGGAAAATGTGCAGAGTAATACTGTAGACGCAATAGCTCCTATGTGCCTCTGGTATGGAGTGAAACCAGGGTGATGATAGTGGAAAACCTGGAGTGAATCTCAACCAAACATGGGCTAGGGCCCATTGGAAGGTCAACACTGTGGCAGGCGCAACAGCAAATAAGTCATTCTTCTCTGCCACATTTGTTTCTACAGAACCATCTGGCAGAACTCCTTTCAAATGCTGAGGCACATCTTATGTGCTGACCCACAAGAAGAGAACACAGACTACTCAACAGCCCACTGTATAAGATTTGCACAACACTTTACAGGCAATTTTTTTTTGGTTTGGTTTCAATCTGACTTTGATTTTGTAGTTATTCAGGTCTTATAACTCTACCTTTGACCCATTCTTATCCTGTATTAAACAATGTTACAGTTTTAACAGCTTAAAGATGTAGACAGGACCCTTGGAGGTGTGAGGGCTACCACATGTTTGTTGGATCCTTGCCCTTCTTGACTTTCAAAAGCCAACGTGGGGAAACTGGCTGAATAGGTGGGAGGAGTAATGAATGTCTTCTTGCAGCAAGGCAGGATCCCAGCTTGCTTAACAGAGGCAACAGTAAGATAGTCGCTCAAAAAGCCTGTCCTGAATCCCATGGTATTGGTTAACTACTAGCCAGCTTAAATGCTCCATTTCTCTGCAAGGTATTGGAGTGCGTGGTGGCTTCTCAGCTCCATGAATTCCTGGATAAAATCTAGATCCAATCTTTCCTCTGGGAGTTTTAGCCTAGGAACATCTGGGGACTCGAGGTTGGGAACTGCTGTTCTTATACAGATGTCTCGTGTTAGTAATGGACTGGATGAGGGTGAATAAACTAAAGCTTAATCCACACAAGGCAGAGGTGCTACTGGTCAAAGGACAGATCAACATGTGCTGGATACAGCAGCGCTCCCCCCAAAACATGTTTGCAGCTTAGGTGCACTCCCAGATTCATTATCTGAGCCTGGATGCCTAGGTTTGGGCAATAGTCATTAGCGTGGTTAAAACCAATGCATCAGCTGTGCCCATTCCTGGAGATGTCTGACCTGCTTGTGGTAACACATGCCTTAGTTACATTGTTTCTTTGGGTATCTACTTTTTGTTTCTGCTTCCTTTTCAAGTTTTTATATTGTTTGCTTTAATATTATAAGACATTTTGCATCCTCTTATAAAGAAAGGTAGGACATCAATATTTTAAATTAATAAATGCTGGCTGGAAAAGTCACATATTGTTCTCTCTATATATACATATTCCATACTCCACATTTCTCTATACCATTCTTCCATATTGAACTGATTACTGTTTTTCCAGTTCAACTTTGCTATAGTTGTTGTTGTTTAGTCGTTAAGTCATGTCCAACTCTTCATGACCCCATGGTCCAGAGCACGCCAGGCCCTCCTGTCTTCCACTGCCTCCCGGAGTTTGGTTTTTGTTGCTGCCTCCTGTACAATGTTACGAGCCTCCAACCATAGTTCTTCAGGCACTCTGTCCACCAAATCTAGTTGTTTTTGACTTGTCCGGGTCAGGTAGCAACCCTCCTACCTTCAAATTAGGGAAGTCCTCCAACAACCTGCACATTCTATCATATTCGTATTCTCTTTTCTCACCCCTCTTTTCCTCCCCTTCCTCTCCCTCCTCGGTACACTGAACTGTCTCCTCCCACTTTGCTCCCCTATATCCTCCTCCCACACAGGCAAAATTGACTCCTCCTTCCCTTCTCTTTCACTAGATTTCAATCATCTCCTCTTTCCCCTTTGATTCCCTTCTTTTCCCTTCCTCCACATTCAACTCCTCACTTCCCATTGTCTTCCCTACTTCTATATCTCTCTCCCGTTCAGACATCTGTAGCTGAGGGGATGGCTCACTCTGCTCTTTCTCCTTTGGGTCTACTGCTCCTTCACATTTGGGGACAATTTTCATTTTGCTGATCGCTATTCTTCCAAACCATGAAGTCTTTAATTGTTCTCTTAAAGACTGTTGGCCTATAGACAGGGAAATGAAGGACTTGCAGGCACAGGTACTCTATAGTTTCCTTGAACTATCTACAAAGTGTAGATAGTTTCTTTGGAAATATTTCAGTTAGTTTGAATCAGAGCCTGAAGGGTTGTGGTTAGGAGCACTTTACAATTGATTGTAAAGAAGGAATATAGAGGCAATTGTTGACACAAGAGCCTGTGTGAAAGCAGAACAGAGTAGAAATGAGCCTCGTGGCGCAGTGGTTACATTGGTGTACTGCAGCCAAAACTGTGCTCACGACCTGGGGTTCAATCCCAGGTAGCGGCTCAAGGTTGACTCAGCCTTCTATCCTTCTGAGGTCGGTAAAATGAGTACCCAGCTTGCTGGGGGGGGGGTCAATGTGTAGCCTGCTTAATGAACTTGTAAACTGCCCAGAGAGTGCTTGAAGCACTATGGGGCGGTATATAAGCAGCACGCTTTGCTTTAGGTGGTACTTGCTTAGGACTAGAGAATCTTGGAAAGGTGAAACACCTGTGGCATCTAAAGTCTATGTATTAAGGTGCAGCATATGAGAAATGAAGAGGGTAACTAAAAGTCCTAATATGGTAAATCAATAACTTATTTACCTTCCGAGGTCGGTAAAATGAGTACCCAGCTTGCTGGGGGGGCAATGTGTAGCCTGCATAATTAAGTTGTAAACCACCCAGAGAGTGCTTGAAGCGCTATGGGGCGGTATATAAGCAGCACGCTTTTTTAAATTGATATTACTGAGATGTGACAATCAGTTCCCTACATTGCCACCATCCCCTTTGTTACCACAATGATATTTGCTCGCTGTGCATACTCAAAAGCCTCTGGATAGTTATGGACAAGTGATGGCAAGGCTACAAGATTTAGGAACTAGTCTTTTCTCTGAACACATCAACCAGACGAGGAGTCTAGCTAAAAGCTTTATTAAAAGAAAAGGGCAACAGGACAAAATGGGGAAAGAGTGCAGAGACACATTAAGTTGCAAACAAAAGGTGAATAGGCAATGTACTGGTAAACCTTCTTGCAGAAGAGATTTACAACAATTTACAACTATATGTGGAAACTACCACTGTAGTAATAGTCAGTGACGGAATGACAGAACAGATAGCTTTAGGCTGAGGCACTAGACAAGGTTGCCCTCTTTCTCCAGTTCTGTTTTGTTTGATTATTGAAATGTTAGCAAACATAATAAGGAGTGATGACACAATAAAAGGTATGGGTGAAAATAATAAAATAAAGATTAATCTATTTGCTGATGATTCCTTATTGACAGTGATAAACCCATTAGAAAGTATAGAGAGAATTAAAATTCATTTGGAAAAATTTGGAAAAATAACTGGATTATGTGTAAACTGGCAAAAATCTGAACTAATATTGTTTAATCATAATAAATTAGAACAAGAAAGGTTTGCTGAGAAATATGATTTTAGGATATGCAAATCAGTCAAATATTTATGTATAGATTTACAAAAAACATACAAAAATGATTATAATAAATTAAAGGAAGTAATTAAAAATAAATTACAGGAATATAATAATTTTAAACTTTCTTGGTGGAAGGATCGCATTGATAAAAATAAAAATCTTACCAAAAATTAATTTTCTTTTTAGAATGTTACCAGTACAGTTAAGAGAGGAAAATTTGAAATTTTGGCAACAAATGATTAACAAATACTGTAATGAAGGGAAGAGACCCAGAATAAATAAAAAAATATTGGTATAGAACAACAAAAAAGGGTGGTATAGGTTTACCAAATATAAAAAATTATTATTTGGCTAATCAGTTGAGGTTTATTGGAGAAATTATATATAACCCAGAAAGGTTAATTTGGTGGAAAGTGGAATAATCAGAAATACAGGTAGATATTGAAAAATATTTATTTGGTATGGTTAAGAAATATAAAATAAGTGAAATTAAAAACCCGTTCTTAAAGACAATGTTAAACATATGGTATAAATATAGAAAGAATTTATGCTAATCTCACTCTCCATTTGGATTAGTGACAGAAATAGAGAATTTTCCTGTCAATATGAAAGTGCATGCAGAATTATTTAAAGAAAAAAAGTGATTAGATTGAAAGACTGGTTGAACATAATGAGATCAACAGAGCAAATGAAACAAATTCTTCAGAGTAAGAATATTTCATGGTTGAACTATTTACAATTAGAAAGATCGACTAATGAATGGGTAAAGAAATATAACAAAGGTAGAGAATACACGAAGTACGAACAATTTCTATTGCCATATGAAGACATTCAGATGACTGATTCAGTAAAGGGCACAGTGAGTAAAATTTATGGATTCCTGCTCAATTTAGAAGAAGAAAGTGATAAAGAAAGAGTGAAGATAGTGTGGGAACAAGACCTGGGGAAAAGGATAAACGAGGAAGAATGGAGGAAGATGTGGAATATGAGGGTTTTAAGATTTATGTCAGTGAGAATAAGGCAAAATGTTTTTAAACTGTGTTTAAGATGGTATTTAACACCAATAAAATTAAATAAAATTAATGCTAGTTATCTGAATGTCTGTTGGAAATGTGAGAAGGAAATTGGTACATACTTTCATATGTGGTGGGAATGTGAAAAAGTACAAAGATTTTGGAAACAAATTTTTAAAGAATTAAATGAGATATGTGGAAAATACATCGAATTGAATCCTGAGATCGCTTTGTTATCAATATTTGAGAATGTGGAATTAACAGCAGCGAGATTAATAATAGCTAGGCAATGGAAATCAAAATCTGAATTTCAAATGGTGAAATATGGTGAAATATGGAATATAGCTCTAAATGATAAATTAACTTATAATTTAAAGGTTAAGAAAGGAGAGTTGAAAAAGAATAGTTTTTATGAAATATGGGGCAGATTCTTGGAATATGTATTAACAAGAGGAAAGGGGAAAGCTCCAAATCAAGAATCAATGCAGTTCTGGAGAAGAGAACAATAAAAGAAGAGGAAGAATATAGATGGAGGAAGAAGATTATAGCAAGAGGTTCCGTTTACGGTGGTGGTGAACACAGTTATATTGTATTTTGATTTGTATATTTTATGTTTATGTTTATGTTTTAGATAAATAAAAACTAAAAAAAATAAAAAAGAAGAGATTTAACAGAAAGTGGGGAGTAGTGTGTTATATTTAAAAAGTGTGTAGCCGTGTTTAAACCTGCATAAACATCTACACATCTTAGTGAAAATTACTGAAAACTAAAAGGACATGGGCAACATTAAGAGCAAGAGGAGCATGGAAGTGGTGTCATTGCAGCAAACCGTTACTGTACTAAAAGGAACCCTGGCTGTTTCTGAGTGAGTGAGAAATGGAAGTGGCAGTGAATGACAGACACCTAGTTAAGTGGATTGGATTTGTTGGTTGTTTTTTATGCCAAGTACTGCATATCGATTTGTCTTCACCAGGTGACTAAACGTGATGAAGATTCTTCTCTAATGCAACTGAAGGAGGAATTCCGAACATATGAAGCTCTGAGACGAGAACATGATTCCCAGATCGTACAGATTGCTATGGAGGCTGGTTTGCGCATTGCTCCAGATCAGTGGTCTTCATTGCTGTATGGAGACCAATCTCACAAATCCCATATGCAATCCATTATTGACAAGGTGAAGCATCTTCATATTGTCTCTTGTTTTCCTCCATGCTTTTAATGCTGGCATTATTTGTAGAAATGGATCCAGAGTTCCACTTGCAGTGGTCATCCTGACATCCTTCTAGCAAGTGTGACACTTTGCCAGCTGCTTCCCAGTTTTAATGCTGGGATGGAGATGGGGAAATATATTTGTGGTTATAAGTAGATTGGAAGGAGACTGTGGCAAAGATAAGCCACCACCCACCTCTTGAACTTGGAGCAGAGCAGGGGCTAGGTGAATTTTCCAGAAGCATGCTCTGCTTTGGAGGGACGCGGAGAGTTTGACTGGAAGGGTGCACTTCTTCCTGTACTTGTAGAGCACTTTAGATGCTTGGCCGAATTGTGCATCTGCTGAATTAATTCCTTACTGTCTTCCCAGTCTCCAGACTCCAGAGAATGATTTGGGTTTGTACAGATTGTGTTGTTTTGGTTTGCCTCAGAAACCACATGCAACTATAGGGGTAATCCTGTCCTTCAAATTCCAACTCTTGGAGTATTGTTGGGGCTCTTCTATTTTAGAAAATATAATATTTGAAGACTTGTAGTTTTGTAGATACAGAATAGATTTCTACCATGGCAGCAAGAAGGAGACTCTTCAAGTATGTGATTTTTTTGTGTGTGTGATCAAAACAAACTCACTCAGCAAAGGAAGAGGTCATGTGTAAATTGAAACTGCTTATACTGTACTCTAGTCTTCAAGACTCTTATCACAAATTCTTCACCAATTCAGAGAACATTTTTGTTCTACTCTGCTTTTCATCTGTTTCTATTCTGCTTTCTTGCTTTTTTTTTAAAAAAAAAGTCATTTTCCTCTTCAGTTACTCCCATCCCTCTTGCCTCCTTTTCCCTTGCATACACCTTAGCCAAAATGACTCTCAACTACAGCAAGTCCTTTTTTCTTGGGAGGAACTGTGGAGCTTGAGTAAAGTTGTCCTACCACAGACTGAGAACGGAATGTTGGGAAATCTAAAAGTCCGTTTTTGTGTGTGAAGAAGAAAACATGCAGGCATTTCCAGTCTGCTGTATTCATCTCTCTTATTGCCTTGTATCTCCTTTTTTTCTAACAAATTCCACTGTAAATTTTATTTTGCTTTTGGCTACAGTTTTCCCCCCTCACTTTCGAGCCTTAGGGCTCTAGTCTGTAAGTGGCTTCAATTTAACATGACCCTAGCTTTCTGGTGCTGTGATAGGAATTAACCCATACATGGCTAGTGCATTATCAAAACTGACACAAATAATTTTTTTCCGTTGCTGTCATTGTAGGAATTGTCCTCTTGAACATTATCTAATTCTGGCACAGGCAATTAATGATGTCCAAGCTGTGTTAATGAAAAGAGATTAAACTGTGGTATAGAATGCTAGTGAAAAGTCATGCATTTTTTTTGCAGATGAGATAAGTGTGGCCCATGAGCACCCAGAACAACTCTAATTATTATGTGTATATATGTTAAGTTACAGACCCCAGCCTCGTTTGCACAGAGTGTTCAGGAACTGACTATCGCTCTTCAGCGGACTGGTGACCCTGCCAATTTGAACCGGCTTCGACCCCATCTAGAACTTCTGGCAAATATTGATCCCAGTCCAGGTAATTGTAAATAAAAACACATACCAGTCTTGTGTACCTTTTAGATTATTATTTAGATTTTTTCAAACATAACATAGTTGACCAAAATACATTTCATCAGCTTCATGGAACATTTTTTTAAATGTGTAGATACAGATTTTCCTGAATCTGGCATGGACATGGGCACACGAAAAAGGAAAAAATACTAACGGTGAGATAGAGAAAAATAAACACAAGAAATACAGAAAGTAGTCATTACATTATATTTTAAATACATGTGAAATAATTACAGTGACCCTGCTAATTAACTTTACTTAACATGATTTAAACTTTAGAATCTTGAGTGATGTTACAAATGTTAATTCACAATTCTCTACCGTCATCCATCAAGAAATTCTGTGTTGTGGATGGAATCTTCATGGCTTTGTTACACCACAGGAGTGAATTCAGCCATACCTACTTAAAGTAATAAGATTCACTCAGATTAATTAATATACTCAGAACTACACATGCCCAGCAAAACAAGTAATTTTAAAAAGGTCTCCTTGTAATTTTTGATGCAACCATTAAAGTGAAAAGAACATATTTTCAAATTGGAAGAAAGCATACATATAAAACATTCCCTGTGCTTAGATGATTGTGAAGTCCAGTCCAGTATTTCTGACATAGCACCCTCTCTCCTACACATTTTTTCTGCTGCCATTTCTGTTGTGACTGCTGTGGGTTCCTGTTCCATTGTGTGTATTGAATTGGAAGAAATGTTGAAAGAAATACCACACTTCTTCTTTGTGGCCTCTATGAATCACACTCTGGATAATCCATGCATGTGCAGAGCCTCATCGGAATATTCTAGAGCTTCTGCGGTAGCAAAAAGATGCATTAGTGCAGACTCCTCCCCCTTGGTATATGTACCTTGGCGCCAAGGCTCTCCATTCAGTTTCTTTCAACTGCTGCATTGAGAGCCTCTATTGTCGCTTCTGTGGGTCCTTTCTAAAAGCAAAAGACAGTTATTGATTTCCTTTAAATCTTTTCATTTAATTAATCTTTTATTATTACTTTGCTTATTAATCTTTTCCAATAACGCCTTAGGGTCGAAGCACCACCACCCCCATTTTTTCCCCAAACCGGTTTTTCAGTTCATGGCCTCTTCAGGCCCGTTTAAACGCTGCGTGACCTGCAATAACAAAATTCCACTCTCTGACGGCCACACTGAATGCCTTTTTTGCCTCGGTGAGACTCACCAAACCTCCTCATGCCCTCACTGCAAAAACCTTAAGCGCGCTTTGTCGGCTCCTGAACTTTTGCCACCAAAAAAGGTTAAGTCTTCGAGGTCAAAGCCATCCAAAATTGTTTCCCCGACTCCACAGGCTCCAGAATCCGGAGACCTCATCTGTGTTGGTTCTCTTTCAAATGAGGAGGGATTTCCACTGCACTAACCGTCTCCATTGCGGTCTCCTGAATGGGAGCAACAGGTCAACCAACTCGTCCTCTCCTACCAGCCCTCAACAATGCTTGGGCTCTCTGAGTGGATCTTCTTTGGCTGCTTTGTCAAAGCTTCAGGCTGAAGCGCAACCTGAAACTGTGCCTTATTCTGCCCCTGTAGGCCTACCACCTCGGCCTCCGGCACTTCAACAAAGACACCAATCATATAAGAGCGTCTGCTTGCCTTATCACGTGGAAACGGATCACACTCAGCACCATCACCGGGATGCCTTTTGCCTCGATCAGTGCCCAACGGAAAACCCACCAAGCACCATCAACCAGTTGTTTTTCCTGGTCCGGCGGCGGTGCCACAGCATGTCTCTTATGTTCACGGTATTGACAAGCTCTTATTCTCCCACCCGTCAAGATGACCGTGACCGTTCATCTCGCTCAGCATCACTGGCATCCATCTATTCCTCTGTAATCAACGCCTCTACCATCTCGACAGCTGTCTCAACACCGACAACAACTTCCATTTTGACACCACCTCGACACCAACCCTTTCGATACTGACGATCCTTGATATCGGCCATTGTCCATGGACGCACCATCTGTGCCTACAACAGTTGACAACCCTCGATATCAACCCTTGCCCATGGACGCCCCGTCGATAGCGGTTGATGACCCTCAACACTGACCACTGTCCACCGATGCACCATCAGCGTCAACAACTCGGTGTCGACACCAAGACTTTGAGGACCAGCCTCTCGACATCAAACAGTTAGTTGACTCATGGCATGATGCTGAAACATCTGAGCGTGGCTCTAGACTCCCAACACCATCTGTATTGTTAACATCTCCAGACCTCGCAGATACAGATCCTCCATCTCCGGCAGAGGACTTTCAAACTTATGCTCAGTTAATGGTTCGCATGGCTAAATCTCTTGCCCTCCAAATCCATAGACCTACGACCGAACCAGTGGATCATGTTTATGATCCCATTTCTAAGGATACTACAACAATATTTCCATGCTGCCATCTCTCCTCAGCACAGCTAGTCGTTCTTGGACCAAACCAGCGTCCTCTCACTCGGTGTCGAAGCGCATCGACAATATTGAGTGTGTGACCCGGGCGCTGTCTTCTTCCAAAAACAGCCGGCCCCTAATTCCATATCTGTTGATCTCGTTCTCAACACAGACAAGTCCTGATACCGCCTAGTAAGCATAGTAGGCACATTGACTCTATGGGCAGATGGTTATACTCCTCCACTGCATTCACCATGAAGGTTGCCAATTATTAAGGGGCTATGGGTGCCTATCAACGTTTTCTCTGGGACAACATGTCTATCTTTATAGATGCACTCCCTGAGGACAAAAGGGTGCTAGCACAAATTTTTCAGCAGGAAGGTCTCTCTGTTGCAAAACAACAGATGCTGTCAGCCAGACTTATGGTTGGTGCCACTTCTAAATGAATGGCTACCTCAATAGCGCTTTGCCATTTCTCCTGGCTCAGAACCTCTGGCCTTGGGGAGGATGCGCGTGTGTGCATTGAGGACCTCCCATTTGATGGGGTAGGTCTCTTTAATGCTGAGACAGAGGACATCCTTGAGAGTGTCCAGAAAAAGGGGACAGCTGCCAGGCATTGGGTCGTCGACCCCACATACCAGCATCACACTTAGCGCATCCAGTGGCGTTGCCCTTACAACACTTACCACAAGTTCCAGCATGAACCTCAGAGGCAAACATCTTACATGCCTTATTACAAACAGCAACCTTACAGAGCTAAATTTCATCAACAGACTACAACTAGACGCAGTGACCATAAACCTAAACAACACGTTTGATGTCCAGCCAGTTGAGATCCACCTACAATCTCACACCTCCCCTCCCACCCTTTGGAAGCACTTACCTATGTGGGAAGATGTCACCATGGATGCTTGGGTCCCCTCCATCATACGAAAATGTTACCACATAGACTTCCACCACCGTCCTCCACGATCCCATACCATCAGACCTCCGTCGCAAACCCTGCAGGACGAAATTCAGACACTGTTACTTAAAGATGCCATAGAACCAATGCCACCACATCAGACAGATAAGGGTTTTTTCTCTTGTTATTTTACCATCCCCCAAAAAGACGGAGGCCTCCACCTCATCCTTGATCTCAGGGAATTAAATCAATACAGTGGTGCCTCGACTTACGAATGCCCCTACTTATGAACATTTCGACTTATGAACAGCTTCGGTCACAACATTTTGCTTCGACTTGTGAGTGGAGCTTCCGCTTACGAACAGAAACAGGCAGGGGAAAAAGGCAGGAAATTCAAATTTCTAACTGTAGGTGGCAACGAGGCTGCTTCTTTGTACTGTAGTTCTTTCACTTTCGCAGTTAGAGGGTGTGTCATCGTGTCAGAGGCTTACATGGGAGAGCTTCCTTCTGCTTCGGAGTGAGTGTGTGTGTGTCTCTGCAGGGAGGTAAGCTGCTGTTTTCTCCTTTTAAAAAACTTCTGGGTGGGTTTTGGCTAGGGCGGGTATGTTTCTGTGCTGTGTTGTTGGTGGCTTTGCTGTTTATTTTTGGAGTTGTTTTGCCTCAGCAACGGAGGTGGCTTTGCCTTCCGACCGGCCTTGCTGTGTTGTTTTTAATTTTTTTGTGATTTTTTTCTTTGGTCGAAACGGATTAATCAGTTTTCAGTGCATTCCTATGGGAAATGGTGCTTCGACTTAACAAACTTTTCAACTTACAAACACCATTCCAATACGGATTAAGTTCGTAAGTCGAGGTACATCACTAGCAAATTCCACATGGTTACACTCGAGTCTGTCCTCCCCCTACTCTGCAATAAAGACTGGTTCGCAATCATAAATCTCAGGGATGCCTACTTCCACGTATTTATACATCCTTCTCACAGGCCCTTTCTGCGTTTCCAACTCTGACCCAAGCCTATTAATTCAAAAGGCTTCTATTCAGGCTCGCCACAGCTCCCAGAGTTTTCACCAAATGCATGGCCCCTGTGGCAGCGTACCTCAGGCTTCGAAAAATTCACATTTTTCCATGCATCGTCGACTGGGTCCTTGTAGCTTGCTCTCGTCACAAGGCACAACAAGACATCTCCTTCACCTTGTCTCTCCTCCAGGATCTCAGCCTTGCAGTAAAACTGCAAAAATCCAAGTTAAAGCCTACAAGACTGGTTCATTACGTAGGAGTAGTTCTAGACTCCAAACACACCCACACGTTTCTCCCAACAGACAAACGTCTCAATTTGGTGCCCTTACTTTATCCCTCACATGCTTGTACCTGTGCTGACACTTCAAAGTGTCTTAGGCACTGTGCATCCATGACTTAGGTAGTTCAGCATGTTCACCTCAAAATGAGGTTACTTTAAGTATGGTTTCTGGCCTTATTCAATCCGATAACAGATCCACCACATACCCTGCTGCGAGTCACTCCAGAACTTGTCTCTGAACTTACATGGTGGCACTCTACTCAGAACCTGATGATGGGACGATATCATCAGGTTCTGAGTAGACAACCATGCCCGCAAATCTAGGTTACCACAGAAGCCAGCCTCACCAGCTGGGATGTTCACTGTCAATCCCTACGGATTCACGCCCAGTGGTCACAAAGAGAGAAGTTGCTCTATATCAATGAGCTAGAACTTCTAGCAGAAATAAAAACTTACAAGTCTTTCAGAAATCGTCTTACAGGCAGGATGGTTCAAATAGCCACAGACAACACTACCACGATGTACTACATCCTCAAACAAGGGGGCACTCACTCCCCAAGCCTCCTTTATCTCACCGTCAACCTGTGGGAGTGGTGTCTCTCCCATCACATTTGTCTCACGGCAATACATGTAGCCAGTCAAGACAGCTATCTGGCAGATGTGCTCAGTCGCAAGGGATCTCAAACCCACGAGTTGTAACTGGACCAATCTGTTTTTCTCTCCCTGTGCAGATGTTGGGGCACACCTCCATCGACCTCTTAGCCTCCCGAAATAACTGGAAGTGCAAACATTACTGTTCCTGTGCAGGAATTGGCAAGAACTCCCGCGGAGACACATTCATCAGCCACTGGTCCAAGTCACTCACTTACCTGTTTCCACTGTTCCCACTCATCCACAAAGTTGTAGTCCATCTTCAACAGGACAGACTCCAAACAGGACAGGCCCAACACTATCCTGATAGTCCCATGGTGGCTACAGCAGCCAGGGTTCCTGGTTCTCCATCAGCTGTTGTCGGACATCTATCACCTGCCCCGCCTACCTCACCTGCTTACAGAACACAAAAATCAAATTCTCCACCCGGATCCCCCTGCCCTTTACCTGGTAGTATGGAGGATTCTGCCTCCCTGATGAATGTCCTTCATCAGGCAAAGAAACCCTCAACCAGAAAAGCTTACATGTACAAATGGAAAAAAATTCCAATTGTTTACTGCTGCGTCATCGCTACCTTCAACCAATCCTTCTTTTACCACAGTTCTTCGTTTTCTGTTACAACTAAAAACTAAAGGCATTTCCCTTTTCATCCCTCGAAGTCAACCTTTCCGCAGTTGTTGCTTATCAGCCACCAACTTCTCCAGCAGCTAAGTTTTTTGGACACCCTACTCTGAAACGCTTCCTTAAAGGACTGCCACACATGTACCCTAACATACGCCCGCCACCACCTCAAGGGTCATTGACATTAGTCCTTCAATGACTTACAAGGGCCTCTTTTGAACCCCTTGCATCAGCTGACCTCAGGTTACTTACTTTAAAAACTGATGCTGCTTTTGGACGTGCTATGTTATCATCTACCTTGGCGTGACACCCTCCTCCGGGTAAGACAGCTTGTTAGTCACCCAGATTATGATTCAGAGAGGCCACAAAGAAGAAGAACAGGATACCTACCTGTAATTGTAGTTCTTCAAATGGACCTCCATGATTCACACATCCTGAATCACAGGATGACCTGGCCTCCCCACTGTCACGCCGTATTTGCTTTATGTGGCAGTTGACCTAACTGAAGGGAGAGCCTGGGCGCCAAGGTACATATACCAAGGGGGAGGGCTCAGCACTAATGTATCCTTTTGCTATCGCAGAAACTCTAGAATATTCTGATGAGGCTTTGTGCATGCATGGATTACCCAGAGTGTGAATCACAGGGGTGTACTCGAAGAACTACAATTATGGGGAGGGGGGAAATATTTATTACGGTCATTGACCAGAGTAAATAATAACTTACAAGATAACTTACAATATGATGTCAAAGAGTTCTGCTTAGATATAAATATACATAATCTCTCAATCTTGCTATGGCTCCCCAACAGGCAATGACTGTTATTTTGCATTTGCATTTTTTTACACCAACTACCAGAATTCTCCATTCTGAGAGTTCAGTCAGACAGATCCATGCCTACAAACACCTGCATTTCGCTCATCTGGAGAAAGGTGTGCTTGAAGGCTTCATGGCCTAGCTCCAACCTAGCTTCCTGTTTAAAAAAGGAAGCTTGCCTGCTACTAAACTGAGAGACTCCAACCATGTTGGTTTCATTTTGCAAGATACAACATCCACACGTATTGTCTTATTTTGTAATTTTTGTCTTTCAACAAATAAAGAGACAGGCAGACAGACAAACCCAAAAGACTGAAGGGACACTTTACACTGGCAAAGGAAGTATTTGCATTCTTTACTGTGTTTAGAACTAGCGCTGTAAACATGTATTTTCCATTCTGCATCGTTCTATAGGTTTATGTATCACAATACCACTGATTTATAGATAGAATAGGATATATACACAGGTACACACATGCATCACTGTATATGTCACAGCCCCAGATACTTCTTCAGTTTCTCCATCATTATTGCATCTCTCTCAGTGCTCAAATTTTCTGAAGTGTTCCGTATCTGAGTACTTCAAATTTGCTAACAAGTAGAAAGTGTTGGGAGATGCTGCTGTCAAAGCTGTTAAATGAGTGTTAATTTTTCAGAATTATTTTTTTAGGCTTTATGTCATTTTAGGCTTAAATTCTACACATTTTATACATCTCTGATACTTGCTAGAATTCTGATGACTTTGTAAGAACTCTCATTTACAAAAGAGAAATTCAGTTGTCCCCCTCATTTTGAACATTCTAGATGCTCCACCACCCACATGGGAACAGCTTGAGAATGGACTGGTTGCTGTGCGGACCGTAGTACATGGGCTAGTTGATTACATCCAGAATCACAGCAAGAAAGGAGCAGATCAGCAACAGGTATAGTGTGATATGGAAAAAGGGTACTCATCATAGTGGGCCTTCCTTAAAGAATCAAAAACTTGTCCAGTTGTATATAAAGTTAATGCAAGAAGGAAAAAGATGGGAGAAATCTGTAATATGCTTTAAATATTCCTGAGGAAGTACCATAGAGGAGCAAATTATTTTTAAAGACTAGCTTGTGGCTCTATTCCCTGCCTTTCTGCTCCAGCCATGTCAGTAAAGGCTGCACGTTCAAGTTATGTCCAAACAGTTATCCTATTCCGATGAGGCTGGACCAAATAATCTTTGGTTCTCTTCCAGTTCTACAATTCTGTATTTCAGAGACTTGAATGATTTATGGTAGTGCAGTTGTTCTCTGTGGCATATGCGCACATGAAGTCTTTTCTTCCCTGTTTTCTAAGCAAAAAAGGTTTTGCAGATTTTCGAAGCGCTACTAAAATTTATCTGACATCACAGGATACAGAAAAAATAAACATGTCCAGCTACAGATAATTATGTCTTAATCCAGTATTAATTGCACCTGAAAGTTGGTTAAAAATTATCTGGAAACATAAACAAGAAGGGGGGGGCAGATAAACTAAAATATCTTCCCCATGCTCCAAGGTCTGTTTTTCTAAGACTGGAAGTACTGCTAAGTGTACTTATGTCCTTGGGCATGGCTAGAGTATGTTCCTTGACTATGGTGGTGATGAATCAACATACTGAAAATGTGGGTCTATGGTGGATTTTGTACATCATGGCAATTTTGTCCCAACTATACTGGAGTTGGAGAGGCTGCAACTAGTAGGAATTGCCAGGTTAGGAACTTTCAGTAAGCACCTTTTAATGTTATTTAATGGGACAGTGTTGGTGTGCTACTGAGTATGTTGCCAGCATATCAGAGATAACCAACATATGTATAAATAAATAAGGGTGTCAGACATAGTGCATCAATACAAAACCTGCGGGAAAGCATGCTCCACAACAGCCCTGGGTGGATAACTTTTTTTTACCTAAGTCAAATTGATTCCAAAAAGGCATGCTGGAGGCTGCATGTGAGTAATGGATGGGGCTTCCTATTGTTGACATGTGGACTGTGATGTTGTTCCTTATACCTGTTCTCTCTCACACAAATACACTCCCAAATCCAGATACTCATGCATATTTCTCTTCCAAAAGTTCTTCCCCTGTACTTCAGTTAGGTTTTGGCACAGGTTGAGGTTTTCCAAATGCCTGATTGTAGCAGGAATATGGTAATTTTCAGGCAGGGTTTATAACATTAGCAAGTGGAAGACAATTAAAAAACAAAATTTGGATCAGGTTTTGAGCATTATTTTTAGGAAAATGTTATCCTTTCTCAATATTCTGTATCGTCTTCTTTTATCACTGAATCTAGCCTCCTCAACACAGCAAGTACAAGACGTACATGTGCCGAGACATGAAGCAAAGAGGAGGGTGCCCCCGTGGGGCTAGCTGCACATTTGCACACTCTCAGGAAGAACTAGAAAAGTAAGATTTAATATCTTATTCTTTTTTCTATAGACTGTGAACTTAACGGCCCAGTATGATTACATGAGCAAGTGCTGAAAAGCACAAGCCACCTCAAAACAAATAAACCTTAAATGATGCTTCTGTGAGTTCACACAATCCAAACATGTTTTGAGTAGAACTTGTCCAGATTCAAGAAATGAATTATTTGCATTGTGGAAAGAATGAGGTTTTAGGGCTTATGACTAACATCATTATCAGAATTGTAAAGAATTCCAATATGAAATGGTTGAACTTCTGCCAACAATGGTGACTTTTCCCTGAAATTAATATCTGAACCACAGTTTGGAAGTAGCTTGTTACATGAAAAATTATTATTATGTGAGTAGGTTAATGTGGGACTGTGAGAATACTGTTTTTTCTCTTTATAATGCTACACAGTGGTGCACATGAGTTACTTACAATTTCATTGGGAGAGAATTGCTCCAGCATTTAGCTTAAGAACACAGATTTCCCGCCTCTTTGTTTTAACTTCAAAACATGACTCTGCCACTGTTCAAAGAAATATGGGGCTCTCTAGAATAAGAGGAACCTTGCTTTGAAGTAAAAAAAATTGATGAGAACCCTCTGGCCATTTCACATTCTTAAGCCGAATGCAACAATTGCCTCCTTAAAGAGGAAGAATAGATGACCGTTCTAATAAACAGAGGTACTCTAGATGCCTAACCAGTTCCGAATAGAGGGGGACTAGAACCTCATGGGATTTGGAGACTATATTTCTGTTAATGCATCCTAAAACCACATTGGCCTTTTTTCAGCCACATTGTACTGTTGGCTCATACTCTTGGCTCATACTGGATGCCTTTCTGAATGTTGTTTTGCTTCCTTCTGTGGCTCTCCAAGGCATTATATTCAGCAGAGAGCACTTGCAGAGTTATGTGTTAAGGATGGAACGGTTTGATTTCTTGGCCTAATTCTCCATTCTGGGAGTTCTGTGTGGGAGGCAGGACTTAAATATAGCTTATCCAGGAGAAAGGCTTCAGCTGGAAAACTTTGATGCTCTGCCCAAGCTTCCAGTTCTTGCCCCAGTGCTAGCTGGGGGCTTTTTTTTCTGAAGAGGAAGCTAGGCAGAGTTAGACCTAGTAAATCTCAAAGCCTTCATTTAAGGCTTTTCTCCTGAGCCAGATTTAGGTGGCTGTAAGAGGCATGTTTGTCAAGTACAGTAGTGCCTCGACTTACGAATGTCCCGATTTATGACCATTTCGAATTATGACTATCTTCCGGAATGGATGTAAGTTCGTAAACCAAGGCACCACTGTAGAACTCTCAGAATAGAAAACCACGTTATTCGTAATCCAATAATATATTTATTTTTAATCCTATCTGATTCCTGGTTTTGAAATGGTTCCAGTTCCTGAAATGATGGTTAAGATGTGTTCTAGTGCTTCCCCGAAAATAAGACAGGGTCTTATATTAATTTTTGCTCCAAAAACACTTTATGGCTTATTTTCAGGGGATTTTTTTTTCATGTACAACAATCTATATTTATAAAAAAATTGATGAGAACCCTCTGGCCATTTCACATTCTTAAGCCGAATGCAACAATTGCCTCCTTAAAGAGGAAGAATAGATGACCGTTCTAATAAACAGAGGTACTCTAGATGCCTAACCATTTCCGAATAGAGGGGGACTAGAACCTCATGGGATTTGGAGACTATATTTCTGTTAATGCATCCTAAAACCACATTGGCCTTTTTTCAGCCACATTGTACTGTTGGCTCATACTCTTGGCTCATACTGGATGCCTTTCTGAATGTTGTTTTGCTTCCTTCTGTGGCTCTCCAAGGCATTATATTCAGCAGAGAGCACTTGCAGAGTTATGTGTTAAGGATGGAACGGTTTGATTTCTTGGCCTAATTCTCCATTCTGGGAGTTCTGTGTGGGAGGCAGGACTTAAATATAGCTTATCCAGGAGAAAGGCTTCAGCTGGAAAACTTTGATGCTCTGCCCAAGCTTCCAGTTCTTGCCCCAGTGCTAGCTGGGGGCTTTTTTTTCTGAAGAGGAAGCTAGGCAGAGTTAGACCTAGTAAATCTCAAAGCCTTCATTTAAGGCTTTTCTCCTGAGCCAGATTTAGGTGGCTGTAAGAGGCATGTTTGTCAAGTACAGTAGTGCCTCGACTTACGAATGTCCCGATTTATGACCATTTCGAATTATGACTATCTTCCGGAATGGATGTAAGTTCGTAAACCAAGGCACCACTGTAGAACTCTCAGAATAGAAAACCACGTTATTCGTAATCCAATAATATATTTATTTTTAATCCTATCTGATTCCTGGTTTTGAAATGGTTCCAGTTCCTGAAATGATGGTTAAGATGTGTTCTAGTGCTTCCCCGAAAATAAGACAGGGTCTTATATTAATTTTTGCTCCAAAAACACTTTATGGCTTATTTTCAGGGGATTTTTTTTCATGTACAACAATCTATATTTATTCAAATACAGTCATGTCATCTTCTGGTTTCTGCACAATGGTGGAGGGCAGGGTTTCACTTAACTGGGGTTAATTTTTGGGGTAGGGCTTATGTTACGCGCATCCTGAAAAATCATACTAGGTCTTATTTTCAGGCTAGGTCTTATTTTCGGTGAAACAGGGTAGTAATGTTTTCTTTGCAATTTGCTATGCCTGCATTCTGGTTTCTCTAATACGTACTGCGGTGGCTAATTTTTCTATGGGTACTAACATGATTTTTTAATGGAGAATTGGAATTATGCAATGGTCAAAATACTATTGGGAAAAACTGAGCATAAGAGCAATCATACATTTTCCCTATTTGCTTGCCATCTGTTGCACGACTGAATGTGCAGTTTCCCTAACGCTATTGTTTCCCTGACCCTAAGAAGCAGCAGAATACAATGGCTGCCAGCAGCACAGATAGATTCGTTTGCAAGGTTGCCTACTTGCACTTTGGGAATTCAATAAAATTCTGGCCCTTGATGTTTCTGTCTTAATTGCATGTTATGCCATGATCAGCTAGATTTTGTGCACTGTGGGATGTTAGGTAGATCATGGCTGAGTTAAAATACTTTTGTATTAGCTTCCCCATAGTTAACACTTTGAAGTCAATGCGGAAACGGATGGGCAGCCAGTGCAGCATGGCCAGAGTAGGAGAAATATGATGGTACTTTCTCACTCCAGTAAGGAGTCTGGCCGCTGCGTTCTGCATCACCTGAAGTTTCCACATCAGCTTCAAAGGAAGCCCCACGTAGAGCGCATTACAGTGATCTAATCTAGAGATTACGAGCGCATAAGTTAAGGCATCAGTCATTTTTTTTAACAGTAAGAAGCTCTGGCAGCCCATTGTCCAAGCATGGGCACACCACACCCTGCAGTGATAACCTGCTCCTTTCCATAGACCACAGGCCACTGATGGTCATGAGTGTCTTCCTTCATTGTATCAGTCTGTTTGATTTTATTCCACAGACTTTGATATCTCAAGTAGAGATGGGCATGAACTGTGCTTTGGTAGTTTGGCCCGGTTTGGCGCCCATTCAGGGCCCACTCACTGGCTGCAGCGCACTTCCCTCCTCCACGTGCTTGTGCACTCACCGGCAGTGCTGCAGGCTTCCCTGCCCCGCACCCTCATCTGAATAGACAACCATGCAGAGAAGACAAATGAAGGAAGCACATTGCAGCTGGTGACTGGGCGATCACGCGGAGAAGGCAGGGGAGGGAAGTGCCTGGTGTCTGCAGAACAGCTGTGGGGGGGCATCAAAGCATGGTTCAGGCCCACCTGTGATCTCCAGCATTCTTGGTTGTAACTGAATTAAAATTTATCATGGAAGATCTGTTCAAGGACAGAAATGTAATTGTTGAAAGTCAGCCTTTTAAAATTTTTTCTCTTAATTGGGGATGCTTTCTTTTTTCTTAAGATTTCGCAAGATAAACAAACGTCTGGTTCCTCGAAGACCTCTGAGTGCCTCCTTAGGTCAACTGAATGAAGTGGGTCTGTCAGCAGCTGTCCTTTCAGATGAAGGAGCTGTGGATTTGCCCAGCAGAAAACCCTCTGCCTTGCCAAATGGGATTGTTTCAACAGGCAATGCAGTGACACAACTTATCTCTCGTGGAACTGATTCAAGTTATGAGTCAGCCCTGAAGCCTGGGAAGATTGACCACCATAGCAACAGTGCCCCCGGATCACCTCCTGACTTGTAAGCAAATGGTGCTCAGAATTGTTTGGATATAAATGAACTTTCCAATCTAAAGTGGGCAAACGTATGTAAGGTTGAGCTGGCTGTGACATCTGACAGTTCTTTGACCACCAGGGTTGATTTCGTTTTCTGGCTGGTTTGGCTAGAGTTGGCAATTGCTCGCATCCATGAACACAAATCTGATGCACCTCCAAATGTGGTATGAATACAGAAGTCTTCAGTAGATATAGACAAAAGGGTTCATCTCTGTTTTTCATAATCATGAAACATTTGTTTATGTCCCAGTTTCTGGTGTATCAATAGCTTTTATTGGGAATGGATAAATGGCTGCACTTTAGAAATGGAGACTGTGGAACAACAGTACTTAATGACATTCATTACACATCTTAACTATTTTGATGTTGTATTCGGTTTCTTCTAGGCTGGAACCCGTTTCCAAGAGTTCTCTCTCTGCCTTACCGGTCACCTCTCACCCAGTGACTCCCCGAGGACCTGCAGACTTGCCTCCAATATCAGTGGGCAAGCAGCTCCAAATGGTACCACGAGGCTCCCCATATCCAGCTCAACAAACAGATGTGTTTTACCCAGATCCTCGAGGAGCAGCCCCCCCATTTGAACCCCCTCCTTATCAACCAGGTAATAGTGGTTTCTGTACAAATTTGGCTTTAGAGTTACAGTTTGCCCAGTTTGAAATACTAATAATACTATTTTCAATTCAGTATTGCCTCTTTGATTCCCAATCTCTCTGTGAACCAAAGAATGAGGAAACCCACTTTTATAGACAATCACTATTATAGCACATGTCATTTTAAAGAATGGAATCATAGAATAATTGAATTGGAAGGAGCCTGTAAGGTCATTGAGTCCAACTCCCTGCTCAATGCAGGAGTCCAAGTCAAAGCAAAGAAATTCTAAAGGCACAACTAAAAACAATTTCAACAAGAGAAAAAGGTGGGAAGCGGCAAAAAAGGCCAGTGTAGCTTCATAAAAAGCTCAGGGGGGACCTAAAAACAAAAAAAGACATGTACAGGAAGTGGAAAGAAGGCCAGGTCACCAAGGATGAGTACAGACAAGTAGCAAGGAAATGCAGGGATGGCATTAGGAGGGCAAAATCAGAGAATGAGCTGAGGTTAGCTAGAGATGCTAAAAGCAATAAAAAAGCATTCTTCAAATATGTGAGTAGCAAAAGACAAACAAAAGAGATAATGGCACAGCTCCACAATGGAGATGGAAATATGATAACAGAGGACAAAGAAAAGGCAGAGGTGCTCAATTCCTACTTTAGTTCAGTCTTTTCCCATAAAACAGAACTTTCAAACAAATTGGAAGTGCAAATGAGGAGTAGGGACAGGATTGCAGCTGGAGATAGATAAACAAATAGCCAAGGAATACCTTACCACCTTGAATGGGTTCAAATCTCCAGGGCTGGATGAACTGCATCCGAGAGTACTGAAGGAACTGGCTGAAGAACTCTTAGAACCACTATCCATTATTTTCTTGAAATCGTGGGAAATGAGTGAGGTGCCAGATGACTGGAGGAGGGCTAATGTCCCTGTCTACAAAAAAAGGGGGGGAGAGGAACCTGGGAACTACAGTCCAGTCAGGCTGACATCTAGTAAGGGAAATGCACGGGTCATTTTAGAGCAGCTCTTCTCCAACAGGTATCCATCAGACTCAAGGTCTCAGTGGTAGCCAGGAGCGCATTTGCACAATTAAAACTAATGCGTCAGCTGTGTCAGTTCCTGGAGATGTCTGATCTCGCGCGTGCCTTAGTTACAGGGGTGCCCCGCTGGACAATTACCCCACTTGATGACGAATCCGCTTAACGTTGAAGTTTTTGCGATCGCAAAACGATGTTTAGATGGGGGAACTTCGCTTAACATTGATCGGTTCCCTGTTTCGGGGACCGATTTTTCACTTTACAACGATGAGCAAACAGCTGATCGTCAGGTTTCAAAATGGCCACTGGCTGTAGAAAATGGCTCCCCGCTGTGTTAGGGACGGATTCCTCACATTGCAGGCACCAGAAAATGGCCGCCATATGGAGGATCTTCACTGGACGAGCAGGTATTTCACCCATTGGAACACACTGAATGCTTTTCAGTGTGTTTCAATGGGGTTTTTTGTTTCGCTTGACGACGTTTTTGCTCTACAGCGATTTCACTGGAACGAATTAACATCATGCTAGGCACCACTGTATTTTTTGTCAGGTAACCTCCCTGTTAAAGAGAGGGAATGCTGTAGACGTAGTATATCTTGACTTCAGCAAAGCTTTTGACAAAGTGCCCCATAATATCCTGATTAACAAGTTAACTAGGTTTGGGCTGGATAGATCAGTTGTCAGGTGGATACACAATTGGCTACAGAATTGTACTCAGAGGGTGATAATTAATGGGTCCTTCTCTAACTGGGAGGTCACAAGTGGGGTACCCCAAGGCTCAGTCCTGGGCCTGGTGCTCTTCAGTATTTTTATTAATGACATGGATCAGGGAGTGCTTGTCAAATCTGCATATGATAAAAAATTGGGTGGAATAGCTAATACCCTAGAAGATAGAAAAAAAATTAAAAATGACCTTGATAGTATGGAGCACTGGACCAAAAGCAACAACATGAAATTCAACCGGGATAAGTGCAAAGTACTGCACCTTGGAAAAAGAAACCAGTTTCACAGTTAAAAGATGGGGGATACTTGGCTCAGCAAAACTACGAGCAAGAAGGATCATGGAATTGTTATAGATCACAAGCTCAATATGAACCAACTGTCTGAAGTGGCTACAAAAAGGCTAATGCTATTTTAGGCTGCATTAATAGAAATATAGTTTCCAAATTGCGCGAGGTGCTAGTTCCCCTCTATCCAGCACTCGTTAGGCCTCACCTTGAGTCTTGTGTCCAATTCCACACATCACACTTCAAGAAGGATGTTAACAAATTGGAACAAGTTCAGATCAGGGGGCTGGAAGCCAAGCCTTATGAGGAAAGGCTGAAAGAATTAGGCATGTTTAGCCTTGAGAAAAGAAGGTTGATGGGTGATATGACAGCAATTTTCAAATATTTGAAAAGCTGTCATACAGAGGAGGGGCAAGATCTATTGATCATCCCAGAAAGCAGGACATGCAACAAGTTAAAGGCTCAAGTTAAAGGAAGCCAGATTTTGGTTGAATATCAGGAAAAACTTTCTAACTGTTAGAGCAGTATGACAGTGGAACCAGTTTCCTCAGGAGTTGGTGAGTGCTCCAGCACTGGAGGCATTCAAGTAAAGTGTGTGGGTGAACTTTTGTAATTCTTTAGCTCAAGACATATTACCAGGTGCTTTGGATTTCAGAAGAATTATCTCAGTTTTTGACACCCTGTGGCCTGACTTTCTCTATGCTGTTAATTTTCTACCCTAATAGGTTGGTATAGAAATGAAATAAAATAAAATAAATGTATTCTTTATACCCCACTTCAGGCAAAGTATCAATAGTACAGGAGTAAAGTAACCATAAAAGATGGATAGCCATCATATATGTGTGTGCAGAGTGGAGAAGACATACAGTGGGGTCTCGACCTACGGAATTAATCCATGTTGGAACGGAGTCCGTAGGTCAAAAAGTCCGTAGGTCGAAAATGCATTCCCCATAGGAATGCATTGAGAACCTATTAATCCCTATTTGGCCCAAGGAAACCCCCACACACAAAAAAATTAAAAATAAATATTTTTAAAATCACCTTACCTTTTTGAAGTCTTCAAGGGGTCCCCCGCCGCCATCGCTGCTGTTGGAGGAGTCTGAGGGCTTCAGCGCGGCTGCCGGAGGCCTCTCGGAGGTCCCCCGCCGCCACTGCTAGTGCTTCAAAGCCACTATTGGCAGTGGGGGGAACATCCAAGAGGCCTCCCATGGTGGCGGGGAAGGCCTTCGGAAGTCCCCTGCTGCCGCCTGGAGCCGCGCCGCGCCTGGCTATCCCAGCCATGGTTGGACTCCCAGGAGTCCGAGCATGGTTTGGGTTGCCCGGCACGGCGCGGCTTCAATCGGTGGCAGAAACATTTTAAATCGGGGATGTACATTTAGGTGTGGAAATATTCAGAATTCACCAATAAATTAAAAAGTAAAGGCTAGATTTCTGCTTTCTAGGAGAAGAAATAAATGCGAAATGTATTTATCAGACATCCTAGATTGATTTCTTGGGGTGATAAACTTAAAGATACTGTGGCACCAAGGGTAGTGGGGACAGAGAATTCAGTGTCTCATGATTGCCATGGGCTTCCCAAGAGCCAGGGTGAGAGCAAGACCTGTACATGATGAGAAATCAGAAGGTGTTTTTCAAGGGTTCTTTCCAATTGAAAAGTAGGCATAGCTACAGTTAGTAAAGAAGATCCATCTAACACTTAGAGGTCACACAGAACAGGAAGAAACTAGCAAGGTAAATAGCACCCCAAAGAATAGTAGCAGCAGTTACATTCTAGAGTTAAAGTCCCTGAGCCCTGCAACAAAGGGCAAGCTTTCTGGGAAACTGGCAGGGGCCAGAGGCAGTTACCTCAAAGGAAGTACATGGCAGAGGCAACGGAGGGGAAGGGAGAGCGGGGAAAGCACCTAATTTGAATGGGGCGCTTTTCCCGCCTCCCCCTTCTGGTCCATAGGTCGATTCTCCGGCCGCAAGTCAAAGTAAAGTTTTGCGGCCGGAGAAGTTTGTAGGTCGAAAAGTACGCAAGTGGAGCCGTTTGTAAGTCGAGACTCCACTGTAATGGGTAAATTGTCATGAAATCTAGTAGGATGGGATAAAGAAACTAAACATTATTTGCCACTGGAAAAGGTGAACAGATAGGACTGCAACTCCAGCAGCACTCATAAGAGATTGGCATTGCTTGTGGAATTCCGCATGTCTCAAAAGATCTGTGAGGCATATGGTTGATGCTCCTGTGAAGGAACAGCTAACTAGACTCCCATGGTTTGCCACTGTAACCCTCTTGGGAGAATTAGTTTCTCTGAGCAGCATTTTGATCAAAAAAAGTCCGTAGGTCGAAAATTTCGTATGAAGGAGGCAACAGCTGCTAGTGTCGTAGGCTGCCGTGTTGCCTAAAGAAATCAGATGCTCTCATTCAAGTAAATAGCCTCAATTGACAATGTGACTACTGAAAAAAACAGGAATCATTTTTAGCTATGCAGAGACTGGTTTGTAGATCTGTGTGAATTAACCTGTACTTAAAGTGACTTCCAGAGGTTCTCTCAGCTGTTTCCCCATGCCAATTTTGTCTGTTATAATCTGTGAAATTTATGAAAACTCCTTCAGAAAAAGGTTAGCTTCTGAAGAAGGAGCTCTTCAAAAATAAACTTTATTTAATATAATAAATATATTAGCATATAAATAAACTGAGAAACAGATTTTAAAGTGACATATTGTTTCTTTCAGACTCCATTTTTTAAAAATACACGAACAAATGAATTGTGCTAAGTATGTTTCCAAAATCTTGTTTTGTGTATTTAGGTTTGTATTATCCTGCAGCTCAGTCTTCACAGTGCATGTCCCGATTTGTCCGACCACCACCATCGGTTCCAGAACCAGGTCCTCCTTATTTAGAACATTATCCACCATACCTCCCAGATCGCATGGTGAATTCTCAGTACAGTGCACAGCCACAGCAGTACCCTCCTATGGGACAGCCCATGTACCCTCCCCACTACGACAGCCGGCGTGTGTATACCTCTGCCCAACCATATCAGCGAGAAGAGATCATCCGAGCAAGTCCTGTTCCCATCGAAATTCCTCCACCAGCTGTATCACCATACATACCTGAAACAAGAGACAGATATCCGCAAGTAGAGGGCTACTATCCAGTTGGTCCACATCTGAATCAGATCAGACCTTCGTATCACAGAGTATGGGTTTTGTATTGATTTTTCTTTTATTTTGCTTAGTATTTTAATATACAAAATTCATTCTCATAACAACTATTTGAGATCCTTGTAAATTGAGCAAGCTGGAATGGTTTTTCTTCTTGATTTTACTAGTTGTTGGAAATTGTGAAAGAACTGTATAATAGTGGAGATCCACTATCCAGTGCTATGAATCAAGGGATGTTTGTAAAAAAAAGTGCCATATAAAATTTCTGTAGCTGATATCCTTTTAGTACTTTAATATGTTCAAGCATCTGGGCATGAAGTAAAGCCTAGTTAACTAAAAGGGAATACCTCTCTCCTGATTCTAATCTGAATTGCATGCAGTGCTCATGGGCTTGTATATCTGGGTGGATTTCCTTTTCTGAAACATGTTGTTTAAATACAAATAATTCAGGTTTCCAGGGGAACTACAATAAATGTGAAACTTGCTTGCTTTCTCTTTCTCTTTCTCTCAGGATCTGTAAGTCGTCTTGCATTTCAAATAAAAACCCAAGTACAATTTTATTTTTATTTGTATAAAAATGGTGAAATCTCATTCTATAAGTTAATGCTGCATCAGCTGCTGTGATTTTTTTGAAATAAAACATTAGCGATCCTCCACTCCAAAAGTCCTAAGGCTCTTATGGAATCCCTTTTGTTGTTGGGAAGCAATTGGAGGCTGTGGGATAGTGGGGGAATATTTAATTAACAAAACTCACTGCTACTTGAATGACTTTACCAGCAGCAGTAATCTTCAATAATTAAAGACTCTCTCACAGAGAGATAGAGAGAAAGAGAGAGAAGCTCTGCAGCCCCCAACAGCTTCCCAGTGACAAAAGGGATATGCCACAGGAGCCTTGGAAACTTGTGGGGAGTGGGGTGGGTTGAGAAATATGTTATTTCCAAAAAATCATCAGAACTGATGAATCTGGACAAGATGGAAATACTGCAGGTGGGGGCCCCTAGTGTCTGTGGTCTGGGTGCCTCCCTGTCTTTCAGGGTGGTGGTGTTATTCTTTCCACAAAAGACGAGGTGCGTAGCTTGCATGTAGTTCTGGACCCAGAGCTATCAGTGGCATCACAGGTCCCGTCTGTGGTCTGTTCTGCTTATTTCCACCTAAAGTGGATCGTGCAGCTGACCTTGACACTAAGTCCCTCACCACACTGGTTCATGCACTGGTAGTCTCGAGATTAGACTACTGCAGTGCCCTCTACACGGGGCTGCCTTTGGGACTGCTATAGAGATTGCAATGGGTCCAGAATGCGACGGCCAGATTATTGAGTGGGACAAGGAAATACCAACACATCTCCCCCACCCTGGCCGCCTTACACTGGCTTCCTGTTCACTTTCATACTAGTTTCAAGGTAATGGTACTAACCTATAAAACCTTAAATGATTTGGGACCTCGATATCCGGCCGAATACCTCCTTCCATTTAGATCTGCCCCGCCCTATAAGATCATCCCAGGCCGGGCAGTTGAGAGTTCTGACCCCTGAGAGAGGCCAGGAAAACAACTACTAGAATTTGGGCCTTTAGCTCCACAACTATGGAACTCTCTTCCACCCAAAGACCGCCTGGCCCCTTCACTGGACACATGTAGGAAGCTGTTAAAAACCTGGATATTTAAGCAGACCTTCACTGAACAAACAACTTTATGATACAACAGTGTTTGCTGAAATATCATCCATCACACCACCATGCTTTTTTAAAAAACATTTTAGGTTTTTAATGGTAATTTATTGTATTGTATTTGTTTTCACTGCACTTTATGATATTTGATTTATGCCCCAATTTTATTGATGTTGTATTATTTTGTTATTCTGTTGTTTGTTTATCTGTTGTAAACCTCCCAGAGTGGCCCTGGCTGCCAGATGGGCACTATATAAATCAAATAAATCAAATCAATAATAATAATAATAATAATAATAATAATAATAATAATAATAATAATAATAATAATAATAATAATAATAATAATA